ATGATCTAGCATGACATGATCAAATCTGCTGAATATACTTAAAAATCATAAATTTAGCTCGATGGACTACGATGGCCGGTGACGAGTGCACCGTGCGCCGCCTACGACTTTAGGCCGATTCTTCGACCGAACATGAAAATATCTTGACAACCATGAATTGATTTAACATGAAATCGCATATAATAACTGAATACATGAAAATTTGTTCGAGAGTTTCGGAATAAATTCTACATGCTCGACATGGTCTAACTCGCACGGCCGAGAGAAATTAAAGACAATTCATGAACTATAGGCCTAAGGTTTGAACTGAGGAGGAAGATACTAACAATAAGACAATATCAACGAGGAATTTACCTCCTTAATAGCTCGAGTGATAGTACAAATTCCGAATTCTCGTGCGCGTGCGGTGGTTCTTTCTCCCTTCTTCCGTGAACACTTAAGCTTAATAAACTAAAATTCTCCCTAACATTCTTACATATAGCTGCTCATGATACGTTTTAAGTGGAGAAGAATTTTCTCCCCAGTTAGCCTAATATATGGCCGAAAGAAATGATGAAGAGGTGAAGATTTATTTTGGCCAATCATTTTGTGCCAAATGTTGGAGAATTAAGACTTAAGAGAGGCTTAACATGCTTAGTCATCTAAACATGTGTATTAGTCACCACTTATGCCTTAAGCTTGAGACACCTCATGCTAAGATAAATCTTCATGACTTACATAAAATGCTCACGGCATTTTAATGTTGGAGCGTGATTAATTCTTAATTAAGCACAATCTTGTGCTTAATTATTTAGCTAAGCTTGATACTTAAATACCAAAATTATTCCGAACGTAAACGTGACTTGGAAAATAATTTCGGATAATCTTGACTGAAATAATTAATTTCGAACAGTAATAATCGATAATATTAATATGTCGGAACTAAACGCATGATTTATATTAATAACATGACGGGACATTACAATCCTCCCTCCTTAAAATATTTCCGTCCCAGGAAATACAAAATGGAACATATATACATGAAAGATAAAAAATATATACATCAGTAC